GATTTTCCGAATGCATCGCGATTCTTTCTCGAGTCGATTCTGAGCTTAGTTAAGAACAGCAGATGGTGCTGCATGCACTCTGCTCATTTCCATCTGCTGTTAAAATCTATGCTCAGAATCGATTCCAGAGAGAATCGCGATGCGATCCACGAATAGATTCTGCATCGATTTATCGTCGCAGCCCTAGTGTGTAGTGTTGTGTACCTTAGCTACTGTGCACGCTGGCGCTGCCGCTGATCATCGCTTTCTATATAAGCTCTACACAACTGTTATCTAGCCCCGCCTCAGCCCCTTGCATAGGGCCTGAACCAGCAATGAATCCAGAGAACGGTCGTGGCCGAAACGCTGTGTTTTGTAATCAAAAACTAGTTGCCCTTGAGCATTGACTGTTCCGTTGTGTGGCTTGACAGCTATAAGACAGAATACAGAAAGTTCTTCTGTATTGAAACTCTTTTCACTGGTAAGATAAAGTTCCAAATAAAAGCATAAAGTGCTTCTGTCCATGTCGGATTGTACGGAGGCGTGACATGCTCTTCCGGGGACAGAGAGTGCATTATCAGAACGCTCCCCCGGACAGCTTGCGCTGAAACAGATCCTCTCGCAGGCTGGCCGAAGGACTGCTATTTCAGTGCATCTGGAGAATGCCTGCCTCTATGTTCAGAGCATCAAGAGTGTTTCTGATGTTGCTTCATAGAGTCAATTGCCCAATAGAGATTCATCTCCACTCCACGAGGAGTCTTGCGGCGTCTCGGACTTGAACTAAGGCATGTCTATTCGGGATATTTATTTTGCGGCGGGTTGGTCCTCGCAAAACGCTTCCGCTAGATTTAATTACCTGAAAATTCCCCTTATTCTTACCGCATGTTCTGTCTGTGCAGGGGAAGACGGCTGAGCAGCCATTGGATGACTGAGAGATTTCGTGGCTATGCCCCTCTCTGGCACATGCTTCAACTAGGTTGTATAGGCTGACGTGCAGTGCCATTGCTCGCATTGTTGTTAATAGCTACTGCATATGCAAAACTGATGCTTCATGACACAGCTTTCTGTGTCCTATTATTTCAGCAGTATTCAGGTGTTACAGATGTAGCTATCTGCCCTGTTTTTGTGCTTATGAACTTGGTTCTTCCCACAGATTTATGCTGGACGCTGTGAATATGTCACTCGTAAGAGCTGGTTTAATGTTGTATGCACCAATATGTTTATTGCTTATTATTACCACGCTCTGCATTTCGTTAGTCCAGCATTGCTCAAATGTGTACATTCATGAAATAATTGAATGCAGCTCTCTCCCCTCTAAATGAGTGGAGTTTGTGCGCTAAATAATTCTGGACGATTGACATAGTCCATTCAGGGAGTATTAAACCACCACAGACTTCTGCTTCTCAATCACCCAGAGAGTGCAACTGGGCTTTGTTGTGATGCGAGCTTGCATTTCACAGGGGTGCTCACAGTTTGTAACTTATACTTCCGTTCATTTCGAGCCGAGAAGTTTCTGCCCTTAAGAGTTCCCAGGAAGCACTCAGGCTGATGGCTGCGACTTTGGCAGTGTGCTTTGCTTTGTTCTCACACATAAGGCGACGATAGCAAGACTGTCAGCTCTCTTATGTCTGTTCTCACGTCCCCCGCTCTTTGCGGCCAACAGGAACTGTAATGGACTTTGTGTTCTGCTGTGCAGTGCATTAAGTCATAATATATCTATTGAGATGTGCATTCAAGTGAGTGCATTGAGACAGACCCTCACACAGGTTTGGCCAGGGCACTGGATTATATCAGTGGGCTTGAATATATCTACTTTATGGACAGATAGTCCCTGTTAGCCACCTTGACTTTTTGCAAGAGTACTTGGACAGCAACTGTATGCCCTCCTTGTTTTAAGTATACCGTCATAACGGCATGACACCGTCATATTTATAGTTGCCCCGGCAGAATGTCCTGTCAATAAGAATTTCGAGTGGCACAAGAAGGCTGATCACCTCTCGCCCACCTACATGATCAAATCGTACTGGGCACTCTGGTCAGTTCTGTGATTTGAATGTTTCCTCACTTGCATCGCGAGTTTGTCTTTGCAAGAAGATTATGTCTACAACTTGAACTGAGATTGTGGGTGGTGTCAAATAGATATTGACGCCCCTGCGAAGTGGTGTTCAACTAGGTCGTTTAGCCATTCACAGTCTGTTGTTACAGGTGCAGACACTGCTGCCTTTCTGCGTGAATGGTCGCCCTCGTGGGTTATATCTGTGCTCATTGCCTTTGTACACATTCACGGTATAAAAGCACAGACAGGAATCTGTCATCGTTTTGTTGGTTTCTCCCACATAGTTAGTAACCTTTGCGGAAAAACCTATGCCAGGTGGGCTATGAGGCACCTATGCATGTTGCTATAGCCTGTACGTGTTATTATAGCCTGAATGTTCTTTGCAACTCATGCATTGTCCGTGCAGGAATCAAGCTAGCTGAAATCAATGTTCAGCATTTGTCTAAACTGTTGCAGCCCCACCGAGTTGGCAGTTTTCGACTCAGTCGTGTTAATACTGACTGGGGATTAGCACCAGTGTTACTGCTGCCGTCGTGTTCATCTGCACTGTGTTAACCCCACGTGCATTATGTTCACAACAGCACTGGCATCGCCGCTACAGTGGACATCAGTACTAGGTGTTGGCTGTCACCTATCCATGTGTCTGTGGTACTGAATGGCTGCTGTTAATGCAGTCTGGAGACAAGTGCCGACATGAATGCTGGCAGTGAGTGTATGGTTAATCCAGGATGCAGGCAAGACCTTTAATCTGCGATGTGTTTGCAGTAGTCTAATGCTTGTGTAACTTGCTCTTATAGCTGTTATGCCGCTGAGTTTATGAGATCTTCCGTTGTGTGAAGTACTTCTAGCTGAGGTCAATGGCTTTGCTTGCAGCCGATCTGTACCTTGGCTCTCAACACAGTGAGATTTTATGAGATACCCAAAGCGATATCTTCAATGACACAGTGTGGAGAGACCGACTCGAGAGGGAACGTTTCAGGTTACCTAACGTAACCTCAGTTCCCTGAGAGGAGGGAACGAGACACTGCGTTTGCTGCCTTGTTACATGGCTCAGAGTCTTTGTCAGCTGCACTCTGTTTCAGTCCAAAGATTCTGAGGCAATGGCATTCAGCGCCGCCTTATAGTGCGGGGGAGCCCGCCTCTATTTTGCACGCTTAAATGCCATTGGCTGGTGAATTCTCGACGGCGAGATTTCATAAGGCTTCAGTAGTTTCGAGGATAACCCCAAAGCGACATCTTCGATGACGCAGTGTCTCGTTCCCTCCTCTTAGGGAACCAAGGTTACGTTAGGTAACCGGAGACATTTAGGAATGTGTCTTACCACATCCAGAAACCATGGTAATACTATGGAACTTTTTGTAAGGGTTTATTCAGTTTATTTTCATAACTCTGTTCACATTTCCGTCCCACAATTTAATTTTCTAACCTAAGAAAGATTTGGTGACATCATATTCCCCATTCGATTCTCATATAATTTTAAAGGGGTCATGAACTGCCTTTGTTTTTTATTTTGTACTGTTCTCTGAGGTCCACTTTTAATGTTATCAAGATTTTTACATCAAAATGCGTCATAATTTAGAAGTAATAAACTATTTTCTGCCCTGTTTTGACCCCCCTCATCAGAACGCTCTGTTTGAATAGGCGTGGCGGATTGTAGACTCGGACAAATCTGTTGTAAAAGGAAGTGAACAAAGGACCAAGTTCTTACTGACGTGATCTGGAACATTAAAAATAAAATTCATCCACTGATCACTCTTTCCTAATGTTGGGATCAGAAGGAAGGCAAGGCAAAGACTGTGTTTTTCCACAGCTTGGCACTACAAAGCATTTTGTTGCCATCTTTATCGTTTGGTTTCTGTGTAGACCTGCATTTGCCTCTCGTTATTCATCTACTACATGCGCAAATCAGTGGGTGGGGCTAAACAGGCAGTGATGTAGAAGTGGGTGTTGATCTTCTGCGGAGGCAGTGTTTAGCCACACTATTACGTCATAAAGTGACACATTCCACAACCTGCCATTTATAAGCTGTTTTTAGACTAACGAGAAAGTTTTGAGTTCTGAAACTTACAGGATGTTTTTATAGTACAATGACCTCTTATATGTCAAAAGATCAAAGGAATTTAGATTTCTCAGTTCATGACCCCTTTCATATAATACATCTTCTACAGTAACATACATGCCATCCTTTGAAAAGTGCATAAACATGATGCATGAACTTCCTTAGTATTGTTTCAAACTGCTTCCCCATGTGTGCTGATTTGATTGGTCCTTTCTCACTGTTCTCCTGGCTTGCATGAGGCGTGTTATTTGATGGCGTGTGTGCGATGATATTTATGTTTGTGTGTATGATGGTGTTGTTTCTGCTGAGGTTAATCTTGCATGTTCTCTCCCTCCTGTCCCCTGCGTGACACCCCCTGCTGCCCACTCCAGGACCTTGCAGTGGGACACTGACCCCTCTGTTCTTCAGCTGCAGGCTGACTCTGAGCTCGGGTATCTCCTCCTCTCTGTCTCTTTCTTTCTTTCATTTTCCTCAGATCTGCTGAACTTTTAAATGCATACACATACACATTTACATGTACAAATATTTTTCAACAGATGTACATGCATTTCTTTGGACACCTATTGCCTACATTCAGTGCAGAAATGTGTGAATGAATTTTTTAATTCTTTATTTTGTATTGACTTAAAAGAATGCATAATTTAAAATGCAAACATTTTAATTTTAAAAAGTAGAATTAAAATGAATTTAAATTAAAATGTTATACTTTACCTTATTACTTTTTACAGCAAATGTTGTCAAGACTACTCTTGTTTGAAAGTATGCATGTATAGATATATAGATAGATAGTTAGATAATACAGTAAAAACACCAATATTGTAAAGTATTTTTACAATAATAAATATTTAGGCTGCATTGTGCTCACCAAGGTGGCATTTAAAGGATCAAAAATACTGTAAAAGCTAATATCATGAAATTTGTACAATATCTACAATAAAAACACTAATATGAAATATTGTTAAAATATTCATAATAAAAACACTAATATAGTGAAAAATTATTGCAATTTAAAATGAATAGAAAGCTCAAAAGAACCATATTAATTTTTATACTGTATATTGTGAGTATAAAATTTTTGATATATGACTAAAAGCTTAGAAGTTATTGGTTGAAAAGCAAGAAGATTTATTTAAAAAAAAAATGTAACTAGTCCATAGGCAAAGTAACTTTAATTGTAGATGAATAAAATAAGAATTAATATTATATTATTGCAGTGTTTGTCTTGTTTTTAGACCGATTGTGTTCTAGGTTCCCTTCTAATGTCTAATTTACTTTTTTTACATTGATAATCTACATTTTCATATTTGTGAATGTGTGTGTGTGTGGTATTGCACTGCCTTTGTACCGTAGTGTACCATTGTGTATGCAACTTTTTCTTTGTTCCTCTCATTTCTCTATCTCATTCCCCTTTCTTTTTAAGTTTGTCAGGTTCAAGTGTTTTCAGCTGGTCACTCTCCAGCTGTGTGCCCAGGGCTGTATGTGACAGTGATTGATGCACCATGCCATTTACATGGAATGCTTTAAACATTAGTTCTAGCAGTCAACTGAGGGTCATCCAAACTTACAATATGTTCATGGACCTGAATAATGAGCCCTACAGCATATTAGATGTAACATTGTATTTTATCACCGTGATGCAGTCAATTTGTTATATGCACATGCAAGCATGTGCACACTTGTGTCAGGTTGTAGGACATTCATAGTCTGTATTTCTCTCTCCCCAGATGTCGAACACATAGATTGGGACCTTCTAAGATAACTCAGGTGGATTTCCTGCCCAGAGAGTTGGTGTCCTACTGTAAAGAGACTCAGACACCGCTAGCAGCTCATCAATCTGAAGGTAGATACTTACTGTAATATTCTATATGTTTTGAAGATGCTACTTTTAAACTAGACTGTAAATTGTCTAGCTGCTATTTATAATCTAGAATGGTTAAACTACATTTGAGCTAACCTTGTGATAAAGTAGCCACACTGGCAACTACAAACAAAAATTGCTAATTACATTGAAACTATTTAAGGGGGCAGATATATATATAACTACTGGTAGAGGAAGTGTTGATTCATTCCAGTAACACAAATCTAAACAGTTCAACCAGTTTACACGAAATGAAACTAATAAAAATAGAAACACAGTCATTTGCATTACTGAGTCCAACATTTAAGGATGAACAGCAGCATTAAAAAAAATTCACTACAAAAAGTTGACTCAAATGAATCTGTGAATCGTTTTTGAATGAGTTCATTTACATTAATCTTCCAGTGAAGCAATTCACTGAAAGGAATCAGTTTAGGAGGGCCTGTGTGATTCAAGTTCGTTCAGCTGTAAAGCTGCATGTACAATATAATGTGACATTCTTTAAAAACAGCACTTTGTCATGCTACATCGTAGATTGTTACTGGAAAACCTGTGTTATTTTGGAAAGAGCTGAGCTATTGTCACACTAATGAAAAATGTGGTGAGCATTGCTTTCGGTTAGTTATTCCCCAACTCTGAACTATAACCACATGAACTGTGGGGAGGAAAATAATGCTATTAATCAATTTAGGTTTTCTGGCTAACTATGATGTGAGGTCACAACCTATGCTTAACACTTAAATAAATGTAATTCAAATATATTTTCCTGATGTTTCAAAAGCACCATTTTAGAGTTAGAACTTATACAGTTGTTGCCTGTTGTGTGAAGTGAAATTTATGTAGCGCAAAATCAGACATTTAATTACAATTGTACATGCACTCACCTTGTCAAACACTGTTAAGATCTACAATAACTTATTTATGTAGTTCTGAAATGGGCTATGTGAAATTGAAAGGGGCTGCTTGGTGAAGAGCTTTGATTTTCATCGCTGTCAGGTGGGCTGTCATCCTGACCGTCTGGTTCCGTTGAAGAGCTCCAAACCTGTGCAGATTAAGATTCATTTGACCAGCTGCGGCCTCCATTTCCTGAGAGGGGAGGTGGGGGGACGGCTTTTTTGAAAAGAGATGCCTGCCCATCAGTGGCTCTGCTTGAAATGGCAGAACAGTAACGGCATTGAGTCAGGCTTTAAGTGGATGCAGACGGGTAATTCAAGATGGCTTCTATCATCAGAACATCACTTGGAGTTGTGCCTGCGTTTCTGTGGAGGGCTACCGGTTTACTTTTACCTTTCTGTTGAGATTGTTGGGTCCACTATCAGTTCAGGTGCATGATATTTCAAAAATATTGTAGATGAATCCTTTGTAGACCGATTTCTAAATCCATCTACATTTAAATAGTAATATACCTGGGATAGTTCACACTAAAATGAAAGTTCTGTCATCATTTATTCACCCTCAAGTTGTTCCAAACCTGGCTCTCTTTTTTCTCTGGAACACAAAAGAAGATTTTGATAATATTCACAGTTTTGGTGACATTCACTTTAAAAATCTAAATCAAAATATCTTCTTTTGAAAGAATGATCATTTTTAAGTGAACTTTCCCTTCAAAGTCAGGACTCAACAATAGTGACTTTTGCTTCAACTTTGGTTATATTTTTTATTAGCCCTGTAAACATATAAATAAATTATTTATTAGCATATTTTTAGATACTAGTTCAAATATCTCACAAAAATATACTTATATAATTTTTTTTGTATACTTGAATTTATTTTTTGTAAGTTTGCTTTAGAAAACAAAATGACAACAAATAATTTATTAGATTTTTCATTTACAATAGTAACTAGTAGAAATTATACAGCTATAATGATAATAAAAACAGCTATAATAAAAGTCCAGAAGGATATAAATTCATAAACCACATTTTTCTGGTGTTTATTGTAAATACCATGGTAATGTTATTTAGAACAACAATATTCCAAACATCACTGAAATCCATGTTTAAGCTTGGAAGGTATGAAAACAAAAGATACAGTGAAATAGCATAATCGACAATCCTTTTTTGTTGAATCCTGAAAGAGTACAACTCCTTTAAATGGTTAAATAGTAAACTCGTACCTCATGTAGCATGATACCGTATTAATAAAACTCCTCGAGCTGATTGATTTATGAAATGTGAAAGTGCTTAATCAAAGCCACTTTTGCTTGTTTGTAAAAGAATAATGTCAGGATATTTCTCCTTATTAGTTTAAGTGTGGTTCCTACCACAAAGACGACTTGGCTTCTCCATTAGTTAACTCGACACAGCAGTCAGCGCTGAGCCTCCCTCTTCCACAAGTGTACTCTAATGTACTCCATTGGCTTCAATCATATATCTGAAGCCAATCATATTTAAAGTGTCATATTTCAATGACATTTTTAAATTTATAGCTTTGTTAAAATGAAGCTCACAAAGAGCTCGGCTAATTTGATTGCATCCCCCAGACTCGGGAGCCAGGCCTGGTATAAAATGCAGATGGTTTGAAAAGCACCCTAAACATCTCCATATGGACGGGACCCCTAACAAGCGGCTTTTGGTATATTTGCATAACATCACTGGTAGTTGTGATGTGAAGCACAGCTTTTGCTATTTGGTTTCCTCTGATTTGGGTTTTAAACCTGCAAGCGGTGCACTAGAAATTAGTGTTTTGTGAAACACAGACTTTACCTCGCTGCTCTCCATCTCATCTTCTTTTTTCCTTCTGCATTTCACACCAGAATCCCTCCATCCTCTCATGGCTCCTTGATCCCTACGCTGGCAACAGCTGCTTGCCATGTGATTGGAGACTTCCTGCCATTATAACTGATGTGTTTTTATTCTTTCCACTTCCTTGAAGCCTGATCAGAACTAAAATTGCTGGCGGAATTTCCTGTCAAGGCAGGTCATTTATTCAGCAAGTGCAACCGATGACAAGCCTTTGATTGGCCGTTGCCCTTAGCAATCGCACTCTGTACAGCTTATTTGTTTTTTCCTCTCGGCCTACAGATGCAGGTTGAGCTCACAGCTGTCTGTAGGTACAGGTTGTCTGTCCAGGGGAGACCCTGCCCCTATAAGACCTCTCACATGAGAAAGAGAGGAAGTTTTAATAGGTCTTTCCACCACCTGCTACAGCTTGCTTTCTGTGTTTGTTCAGGCCGCTGCAGAGGTTTCGTCCATTGATTGGTGAAACTAAACAGATACCTTTTTTCCTTTTCTTTCTTTTTCCTCTCTGACCCTCTCTCTCTCTCTCTCTTTTTCCCTGAGTTGGGGGATGCAAAAACCGCCCAGGTGTTAGCCCCCCATAGACTGCACTATAACACTGTCATGAAAGCCAGCAGTGCCTGCAGAGACCCTTCTACCAGCAGCAGCCAGCATGTAGTTTGATTAAGGTCAAATTAACCTGAGCAGTTTCCAGATATGCTTGGTTAAATGTCTCCTAAAGAACATACTGGTAACACTTTACAGTGTAAGGTTTCATTTGTTAACATTAGTTAACATGAGTTAACAATTAATATTACTTATACAACATTTATTAATCTATGTAATGTTTATCTCAACATTATTTAATAATTTTTTTAAGATCAAAAGTTGTATCTGTAAACATTATTTAATGCCCTGTGTTAATAAACAAATGAGACCTTACTGTAAAGTGTAAAGAATTATTTCCCTATTCCCTTTGTATAAGGTGGTAGTCCTTTTCACGTGTGTGCTCATACAATAAACCTTAAAATTATAAAAGTATTTTAACATGCATTGTTCATAACACTAACTAATCTACAATTCCTGTAGCATTGAGGATCCTTTTCCATTCAGACACTACTGTTAAAAAGTTTGGGGTCAGTAAGATTTTATGCTCATCAAGACTGCATTTATTTGATGAAAAGTGTGAAATAATAATAAATTGTGAAATATTATTCAAATTTAAATTATGCGTTTTATATTTTGTGTTTTTCTGTTTTCTATTTTATGTATTTTTCATGGCAAAGCTGAATTTTCAGCAGCAATTACTCCAGTCTTCCATGTCACATGATCTTTCAGAAATCATTCTAATATTCTAAACATTTCTTATTATTCTGTTGACAGTTGTGCTGCTTAATATTTTTGTGTAAACCGTGATGCATTTTTTTTCAGGATTTTTTGATGAATAGAAAGTTCAAAAGAACAGCATTTATTTGAAATGGAATGTTTTCAGAACATTTTTTTTTTATAAAAAGACATTTTATAAATGACTTTACTGTCACTTTTGATCAATTTAACACACACACACACACACACACACACACATATTACTGACTCCAAACTTGAGAAGACGTGAGAAGAAATGAGAAATGTTTAGGATTCTATGCTACATCTAGGTCACTAATCAGTCAAATTTGTGACACTATTCATGCAGATTCCTTTGTACAAAAGGTCAGAAGGTCTTGTTTTCACTGAAGTACAGGGTTTTTCTTAGGCTAATATCTGATGCCTTTGGCTTAACACGCTCAGGCGAAGAGTTCCTTAATGGATCCAAAAGGTTGGCCATGTGTATTGTGTTCGTCAGCTGTTTTGTTGACCTCAATTTAGCCCTCGTTGCAGGTTTAGTCACGTGCAGCTTCAGCCCTTGTGCTTCCAGCAGTATCAGATCCCATGATAGATACGATTTCAGAAAGATTTCCGCTGGTGGTCTGGGAAAAGTTGGCAGAAATGAACGCCAAACCTGTTAGCCAGTGGCTCATTTGTGGTATAAAAGCCTTCCAGATCTCACCATCAGAGGCAAAAGACCTTAAAATGACATTATTGTGAAGCAACAGCACTGGATGTGTAGCATGAAGTCATGACTCAGCGGTACTGGTCAGTCAGGGGTTGTGACCCATCTGAACTTTTAACCCCGCTGAGAAGCCTATTCTCTCCAGCCGTAGTTTGTCTCACATCAGTCTAAATGTGTGTGACTCTGTTTAGGAAAATTTAATTCAATTAACTGTT